GGAAAGAGCTGTTGCTCTCAAGGTGGGGACTGTAACACAATGGGTCTCACTGCCTGCTGCTCCTGCTGTTCCCTAGGAACTTAATTTTTCTGCTCTGGGGTACCCCCTTTTGGCTGGTGTCTTGTTCCCCCCAGCAGACCCGCGTCCTCCGCGGCGAGAAAAGCTGCTCCGCATCTTCCTGGTCTGCTGCGGGGGGAGGGGGGGAGGCGCGGGGCGCTAGCTCTGCATCTCCCTGATCTGCTGGGGGGAAGCGTGCCCCCCGCGCCGCTGGAGGCGGTGACAGTGGGGGAGGCACCCCGCACTAGCTGCGCCCCCCCGTTTGTAACTAGGGATCCAACGTAAGTCGGATTGATGTAACCCGGGGACTGCCTGTATTCAGAATGCAATACATGCAGGACTACCAACTGCACAGGGAGCAATTTGCTTGTACGTAAACTCTAGGAATAATATTCTGATATATTTATCTGTGTAGTCAGAGAACATACAAATCTGAAAATCTAATACAATTTTAAATTTCTCAACCTGTTAAACATTTGACAATATATGGCAATGTAGCTCTTTTTCGTGTGGTTCTGATTTTATTCTTTCATCAAGTTTATTCCTTAAAACGTACATTTATCAAACTTTCCTCAGTAAAATAATTAAATTAAAAGGTAAGGAATTTGGTCATAGAGTTAAATCACAGAGTTTGAAACCTTAGATGCTGTTCCCAATTCTCATGCAGATTTCATAAGGCATCAGAAAAGTCACTTAAATTTCTTTGTTGCTTAATTTAAATGTAAATCACTTGAGATCCCAGGATGGAAGTACAAACTATTTTAATTCCAAATTAATAAATTATGCAGCTTGATATGTCAGAATACATACCTATTTTGATATTTTGTGTATTAAAAATCATGCTTTTGTTTGTTTTTTTTTTTAAACTAGCAAGCCTGTTGGTATGCCATCTCCAGTCTCTCCGAAGCTGTCTCCAGGAAATTCAGGGAATTACTCTTCGGGGGCATCGAACTCTTCAGGGAGCAGTTCTTCTGTAACTATCCCACAGAGAATCCACCAGATGGCAGCCAGCTATGTCCAGGTTACATCCAATTTCCTCTATGCCACTGAAATTTGGGACCAAGCTGAACAGCTTTCTAAAGAGCAAAGAGGTAAGACTTGGTAGAGTCTGTAAAATTGCATGTGTTGAACTGTGCCATAAATGCTTGTAGATCTTTCACATTGAGCAAATTCGCTAATATTATACAAGGCATATTTTGCAGTTGGTGTTTTGCTGTAGGAAAGAGGGATAATTATTGAAAATCTAAGGCAATAATATCTCAGACTTCTATGCTTTTGATGCTGAATGATATAAATAAGCCTTACACTGGCAGAATATAGGCAGACATAATTTTGGGGGCTTACTATAACTTCTAACTTACAAATATGGATTTATATTCGCATTTTTTAAAATTGTATTAATTGAATATGCAAAATCTTTTGGGGAATTTACCACTTTTGGGAATGGGAACATCAGTTTGTAAAACCTTCCCATCTGTTCTTATCAATCATTTTACTGCAAAAATGGTTTTTTATTCCTGTACTGTTTTCACCTCCTTCCACCTCTTATCTCTCAGATGACATCAGGGGAGAGAGGTGTAATTTGTTAACCCATAATAAATGGCTTTCTCCTCAAAACCACGTTCTCCAAAGAGAAGTAAGTAAATGTGAAAGGAAATGTGCATAGTTTGATTTATTTTTTCCTGTCATTCTAGAGTTCTTTGCTGAACTGGATAAAGTTATGGGCCCTCTGATTTTTAATTCAAGCATCATGACAGACCTAGTACGTTACACCCGACAGGGATTACACTGGTTGCGTCTGGATGCTAAGTGATATCTTGAACTGAAGGAATCAAAAGTAGAACACACTTTTCTTGCTGCCTCTGATTTTTCTCCACAACACTGTGTCATGTCAATAAGGAAGACTGCCATAACACATTGCATAGTTGACACTAAAAGCAAGGAATGCTTTCACTTCTCCCATCCTTCTTTGTATGTTTAACCCCAAACCATATCATGTTAACAGACTTCTTCAGTATTCTCCTTTTTAAGTTATTTAAATATTTTAAAAGATTTTGCTTCATTGCTCTGTAGTGAGATTGGAATTCCAGTCAATAATACATACCTAATCAGTTTTAAAGCTTATTTATTTTCATTTGTTTTTAAAAATTTTTACGAAACCCAGCTATGGGTCCTTTTAAGACTTAGCTATTTCTTCCTATAAACTTACCCTATCAAGTACTTAGCAGAGATTAAATGTAGACACTTTATTTAAGTACTGCGTGAGCTTGTTACTCTGTAATGTCTTGTGGTGGTAGAGCTTGTTAAAGAAAATAAGGGTTGATAGGTTCTAAAATCTAGGAACACCATGCTTTTCATGTCTAATGCCTACGACTCAAATCTTAAATAACTACAGTTTTATTATTGCAGAATTTGTACTAAATTAAGAAAAGTTCCAGAGATATTCTTCTACACATTAAGATATTTCATTTAAATGAAAATATAAGAGATGTATATGGAAAGATATTTAGTTATGTCTAACTTGGGTTGTTTTTTCAAGATTATTTCAGAACACTTGGTTAACACTATAGCAATCACAAAACATTACAGTAAACTTGCATTTAATGCAATATTGAAGTAATGGAGTGAGAATGAGCTTCAGCCTCTGATAGGTGCATACTGGAAATGTTTCATAATTGGACAATCTTGTGCTTTTTTAATATCTCCATTTAAAACCGGTCTCCTTGCTTGTAATTATTTGACAATGAAGCAGCCAAGTTAACAATTGAAAGAACCAGTAAATAATTACTACTAGAACTGTCTGTATTATTTCCATTGACTGACTGGGAAACCAAAAATCATAATAAGTGTTAAGATCCATTTTTCCTTTTTGGGTCTGCTAATAGATGGACATAATCATGCCATAATGGCTATTGTGGGGTGCAGAGCTCATCTTTCACAGGGACATTGTGAAACTGTTCTGATGTAGAATTTATTTAAAATTTCTGTTTGCCTCCAAGTTAATAGAGGCTCTTGTTAATGTCAGCTGTTTCTGAGGGGAGCAGAATATTCACTTTAGAAGTATGATGGTGCAACAAGAATCCTGCATGGAGTTCCAAGTGGCTGCTTTTAAAAGTTGTAATCCAAAGTACCTTTCCACAAAAGGTTATTGTCTAGGTAAAAGATTAAAAATTATACTCCTTTCAATATTGCTTAGTGTCCCTATCATGTCTGGTGTGCCTTATGCCTTACTTTTAGATGAAGATTTTATGAATTGTTTACAAGGTGAAGTTTTACAGCAGGACCATATATACTGTATGGAGTTGGTCTTCTGCAGTACTTTTGGTAAAATTCCATTTCTTTTCAACAGTCCTAGTGTATGTCATAGAAACTTTACTTCCTGTTACAGTGGTCTCCTTTTACAGAGTCAAACTCTGAACCCATTAGAGTGGTATTGTGAAGTGCTGCTTTGTTTTTATTTCCCATTGTCCCTTTATCTTCTACCAGATGTGAACATGCATGTTCAGGAAAATTATTGCACTAAATTTGTGTGTAGTTGTAGTCAAGTGCCAAAATGATGGCAATCTGAAAAGAAGGAATAGAATTCTATGCTACTTAGTACTGCAGTATGTCCTATGGGCTTTAAAAGTTAAGAAGTTTTGCAAATTAGTAACTTCACTGAACTGTAGCTGCATATTCATAGAGCTTCCTTTTTGTGTTCCAACATTATTTGTACTTCCAGAAAAGCTTTGCTGCAGACATATGGAGACAGTTAACCAACTTATGACTTTTCCCATTATACTTCAGCTTACATTCACTGTTAGAGATGGAACTTTCTCTACTCTCAAACTCTGCATCTTGGTTAATGGGACACTGTCAACTATTTTTCCTTTGTAATACTCTAAAGTGCCTAGCACACTTTTGACGCTATATAAAAATACTTTCTTAGAAGCTGCATTGTGATTTTGTTTTTTGTATAGTGCTGCAGTAGCCAGCATGGCTGTTTCTAGCTTGCTCCATTATGAACCATTACCATTGCTGTAAGCAGAAATAGTCTCATCTCTGGGAATATTGTTTTTTTTCCTTAACCCAAGTCTCACCAGTATCATTGAGTGGTACATTTTTAAGAGACCAGTTTGGTGTGTGTTCTTTATATCCAATGGATTTTAAATATTTGTCTAAAAAATCCAGAAGACTTTTTAAAATCTGTCAAAATGGGGACCCCAATGAGCTAAACAGTATACGTTCTGGTGAAATGCCTTCTGGAGTATTGTCCCAGGTTTTCTATATACGCGAGACATATGCAATGATCTTGTTAAAAAACAAAAGCTCCCTTATCTTTGGCCATTTCAAATGGATTAAACTCAGTTTGACAATTCCAAAAGCATGTCTATCTTGGGGATTACCTATTGCTTCAGTGAGAGAATTTTATTTTGCCAGATACAGAAGTTAAAACACAATGCAAATAATTCATAAACTTCCATCTCTCTGCCAAAATGCAGGCTAACAAATCTGTCCTTTTTAATCTTTAATCATCAATATGTAAAATTCATATCACTTGAGCGCTATTGCAACATGCTCTAGTGTCTTGCCATGAAGGAATCCTTAACCCCTGGTACTAAGGGTTCCTTAGATGATTATATATTTACACATATCAGTGTTGAAGTTTTATTCATCCCTTTATGTCCCCCCAGTGGTGAACCCTTTTTTAAAAAAAGGCTTAATCAGACTAGGCTTGCTCAGACAAATTATTTTGAATTTGCTGTCAAATTTTCAGGTTCAGAAATGACAAGTTGCATCATTTATAATTGTTAATGAGCCTTTAGGACATCAGAACAAAGTAGCCCATGATTTATTTTGATTTGAAATTATTAGCCGTAAAACAGAGCGCATTGGATGGCTCTCTTCTCGTCTTTTGACGGCAGTATGCAATTTATATTGTGTGTGTGTGTGTGTGTGTGTCTATATATATATAGATATATAAATGAACGCAGTCTGTCCAAAGTATATGTTATACTTGTTTTTAGATTATAGTGCAACTGACTATATTGATATATTATTTATTAAACTGAGTGCTGAATCACCATCTTACTGGTGATGAATCTTGATATTCTACAGGAGTGCAATGTATATTCTTTATATTGCTGAGGTTTGATTGCTGTGATTTAAAAAAAAAAAAAACCTAACGTATTTATGAATGACCCCAACATATAGAGAGTCAGTACTTTATGAATATAATTTCATACTTGCCTGGGGCAAGTGAAATAAAGCCTTAGGCATTGACTGAGTAGTTTGCCAAACTAGTAGAAGGAGACTACCTTTGCTTTATTTAATATTTTGTTTACCTAGCGGAAAAATTTACTGTCATTGATAGCAGTGCTTATATTAAAACAGTTACAAAAGGGCCTGAGCAAGTCAAGTTTGAATTAATTTTCCCATTGGGGAGTAAGTAATTTCCAAATAATTGATATTAGCGTTCTAGCAAATACTTCATAAATATTTTGGTCAAGGATTGAATTACTTTAGATCTAGTCAATCAGTATTATAGAAAGCTGTATATTTCCAAAAACACAATTACATTAGCTATCTTTAAATAAAGAGTAGCCAAAGGTTTTGCTAGCCAACTCTGTTAAACACAGACTATTGTAAGGAGATTCTTTGGAGATGGAAGTGCATAAAAATCATGTTGTCAAATCTCATTTTTGAAGGAGTTTTGTCTGTGATGCCATTTTAAACTTAGCAGTGTTAGGAGGAAAGAGGAAGGGCATCTATAAAAATAAGAGATTTTTCTCATTGTGAGAGTGCTAGAGCAATGAACCTGGCCAGTTCAAAGACTAGACTTTGAGATTGACAGCATTCCCTCTTTCTGTGTTCCAATATTCAGCTGAGCTTCAGTTGAATACACTGTTGAGCAGTTTGAAGTACTGCTGCAGAATAGAGTTTATATAGGCTATCCTCATGTAATATTTTTTTACCCTGCTTTAATTCCATCTGGAAACTTAATGGAAATTCATCCATTCCAATTGATGTAACTCTCCATATTTATTAAGAGTCAATACTGGCAAATTGAAGTGTTCTCAGTCTTTAATTTAGATATAACCTTAGTAAATCATGCAGTTAGGTACACATAAGTATTGTAGTCCATATTTTTTTGGCTGCATTGGCATTAAATATCTGAAAGTTCAACTACAAGGACCAGACATGACTTTTGCAAGCACAGTTACTGACATTTGTATCTTGTCCCCCTTTTAAATGGTTTGAGGAAATTTTGTATATGGAGGATAAAGTGCTTATATATTTATTAAAGATCCTTTATCTTATTTGAAATTTATTATTATTTGGTGAAGAAGGGTTTTTTTCTTTGGAGGAGGGTTGAGTAGGGCAGAGGAAGGTAACTTTAACCTATTGCTTCAAAGCCCTGGTTAATCATGCAGAAAGGTACTGTTAATGACAGGATGTCTCTATCTTATGCTTTGTACATGACAAATCCATGTCTTACATTTTGTTTCTAGGCATCGGTTTTCAACCAAAACTTACAAAAAACAAAAAAACTGTGATTTTATTTGTTGCAATACGTTTGAAATATCAAAGGGTACTTTGGGGCTCAAAATTAGGATTTTTAAGTCAGTATGTGCATTTCACGTAATAAAGCTGTTAATGGTGAGCAAAGTATTATATACTAACTAGATTTTTCCACATCTGTATAGTATATTCTATGTATTTTGTGGTATTGAGATTATAGAAAGTTTAGTGTCTGAAACATGCGTTTAATGTGTATTTTTAAACAAATTTATGGCAATTAAAATATTTGGAGAAAAGGGTATCACATTTCAATTTGTAAAGATCTTTTTAACTACCGTGTCATTAAAATGCTTTGTACAATGCAAAATGTAATGTAACTGGAGAAACTAAGTTTAATAAATATGAAATAGATTTTCTGTATTAAACTTTATAAACAGTGCTTTTATCTTGTGTAGGCTTTCTCCTCTGTGGTATTACATCTTCTAGCTCAGTTCTCTTAGGTCTTCATGCCCTGTTAGTATTTCTTTCCACGCACCGCAGCAGAGAAGAATATATGTTATGCAGATGGTGCCCAAATTTATTTTGTAATTCATTTGATTCAGTGAAAATGCTCTTGTTTCAGCCCAGTTGATCAGCATGCAAAGGTAATTGTTGCTGAAATATTTTATTTTAAAATTAAGCTGATGAAACCTGCAGCAGTTACTCGGTTAAAATTGTTCTTTATTTGAGCAGTTTGGCATCAGTGGATTTTTCTGGCATATGGAACGAATCTGCTATTATTTTGAGGCTCTTATTTAATAGAATTGCTCACTCTGTTCCCTTTCTCAGAAGGGCTGCTTGCCTGAGAGCTGTTGGCTGGTGTCAGTGGGAGGGACAGATGATTGGTTTATGTATTCACCAGGCCAAAGGGTAAAATGTCCATAGTCCAGCTGCATATACACACTCCTTGAGAGTGCCTCTCCAGCTTGCACCCCCACTGTGGCTTTCTTTGTTCATTGAATACAAGAGACCAACTCTATTTGCTAAATACAAATCTTTATCTTATAGGAAAAAAGGAACAATTTAAAAACTGCAAGGTCTTCTATTGAGCATGTCTTCAGGAGCCCAGACCAGAGCATTGTTTCAACTTTCATGAAACCCTTATATCATTTCATACAACAAATGTTCATCTTAAAAATATTAAATATATGCAGTTGCATAATTCAAAGTGTCCTCACTTAAGGATAGTTGATAATAAATATTTCATATATAGGGTAGGACATTGTCAGAGGTAAAAACAATATTATCTTCTTTCGTGACAGGTCACTCACAGGAAATTCTTAGGGAACAGCGATTCTTCCTGCAAAAAAGGTATATCAATCATTATAGGCCTGGATTGATGTAATTATATAGGTCTCCATCTAGTATACCTATACACATAGCATTGTTCATTTAGTTCAGCTCCCTATGCAACTTGAATTTAAATCTGGTGTGTATGTTTACAGTAATTCTCAAATCTTAATGGTCAGCATATTCCAAAAGCACTTTTGAGGAAATGAAGATGCTATCAATGACTCTTGTTGGCAGGGAGGGATTGTTTGGTTTCTAGGGTGTAAAAATGTATTGTAAAAAGTGATGGCCTGAAACTCGTTCCTCTGCAGATGAATTGCACAAGTGCTGAATGCCCTACTGTGTAATCGAAATGCTTTTTCCTTCTAATCTACAGGCAGCTTTTTCAGCACCTATCCTTGCCTCTTTGAAAAGCTGAGGGGCAACATATCAGCTATGTCAAACAGCTTATAACAGATTCTCACAAATGTATCGAAAATAACACTTGACTTCTATTCTCTATTAATTTCCCACCATGAATGTGTAGTGTGCGCTGCCTCGGCACTAGCCGCATCTCTTCCTAGATTAGGGTTGTAGGGTGCTAGGCATATTGCCACCAGCCTGGGTTCTCCCACATGAGCCAGTCTTCCATTATTTAATAGTATTAATGTATTTGGTGCATCTTGTTTAGACATAGTTGGAGGAAATGGGAAAGGGAGGCCCTGTTCCATCTGTCTAATAATATGGACTTATTCATGTTCAGACTTCTGAACTCCTTATCCTCATCTAAATAAAAATGTGTCGTCCTTTTATTGTGAGATGCTGCTTTTTAATGACACCATTTGTTTGAAGGGTGATAAATTTTATCGCTAAGAAGCAGTCATCACTTAAATCAGTCTTGTAGGAATAGTCTTAGGATGTGTTGTCTACTTACGCTAAATAATCTGTTCCACCTTGTATTTAGCCAAACAGAACCTTTCCCAATCCTGAAAAAGAGCTCTGTGTAGCTCAAAAGCTTGTCTTTTATGATCAGAAGTTGGTCCAATAAAAGATATTACCTCACCTGCCTTGTGTCTATCGCCAGTGCTCCTGCAAACTGTTTTGTTTGCCACTTGCACTAAGAAAACTAATTTTGAGAGAGCTGAACTTGTTCCAATCCTTGCTGCAGCTATTCTTTTTGTACAGAAAACAATCAAGTACTGTGATAATTCACCATAAATTACGTAGGAATGGGTAGTTACCTGCACAGCATTGAGATGCATTCATTGTCATGCCTGCATAATGCTCCTATAGGTCTGAGGGAAATCCCCCTCCAGAAAGGAGTCATCCTCCTTTGTCTTGTTAGTTGTGAGCTTGAATGATGCAAAGAAGCACAGTGTGTCTGAAATAGAATTGAAATACAATTGTCATGAAGGAATGGTGGCTTCCTGACATGGTTAGCATTAAGCATAGTTTTAATAGACTTGTCTCTGTATGTTTATAGTTGCTTCATTTGGTTGTCAGATCATAAGTCTTACTGAATGTCTATTTGCCTTGGTATGTTTGTAAAATTCTATATTAAAAAATAACACAGGCTCTCCAGTATTTGTGAGAGGGAAGCAGACATCCTCATACAGAGATGAAAAAACTTTGGCAGACACACTAAATTACTGGTCTAAACTGACTGACCATATCGGTATCAGAGCTGAGATACTATCTTT